TGCGAATTGTTCGAGTCATACGAATTTTGGTGGTTCGGCGATCTGTGATTGCTCGGTGAATTCCCCGAGTTCTGCGAATATTGTGAGTTGTAATTGTTCGGTGAGTTTTGAGAATTGTGCGAGTTCAAGTTTCCTTGAGTTGTCCCATGTCCAAGTGCAGGTCCATTACAAACTGGTTTAGCGTTTTTTGTGGCATTTAAACCGTACGGTTTATCTTCGTTCGTTTTCAAAAAGAAAATGCCTTTCAAATTGTGCGGTGTAGCATACCCCATGGGATAGCTCTGAGTACGGCAGAACTTTGAATTCAACGAAGATAATGAATCACATTTTACTCCCAAAAAATTATTTTCGTTGCCTGGATAAACTGACTCGGCAAAGAACTCAGGTGCACGTTGATGTGCACAGCTCATCGAATAACAACCAGGTGGCAAGGGGTTATCTCCGTTCGGGTAAAAATCTGCATCTCCAAGAGGATCACGTTTTCCTAAGCCACCGGAATTTGAATGAATGGCCAAAACAAATTCAGCATCGCCACGAGCAAGACCAGTGAGAGTCTCACCAGAGTTGAAACATGGATCTAAAGGTGTATGAACAATCAAAATGAGTATAAAAAAGCAACCAAATGATATTTTAATCGAAAATGTTGAAAGAATATTTACTAGCTGGGTCTAAGCCTGTAATCCTCGGCACTAATTTGCCCGTTTTTTTATACAAATTCCTACCAGCCGAACCAGCAACTAAAGAATAATTCCAATAAATTAATTTGTTATTCTGTTTGAAATGTAAATATGTGCATTCATCAACGTACTATGGGCGCCCAAGCTATGGCCAACGAGGTGGATTTTCTCAATGGGATATGTTCTGATCAAGTGCTGCAATGAGTCGGAAATAATATTTCCAATTTCTTCTGTATTGAACGCCGACCATGTATAAAGTGTGTCAACAAATTCAGCTTTAAATTGAAAGAAAAAATGCGAATAAATTATAACTTTTTCTGTTGAGAGAAAATTCTTGTGAAGAAGAATGACAAACTCACCTGTGTCAACAGTCTATGTGTCGGAATGGCAAAAACGAACAAAAAAAAAATAATAAATTCAAAGTTAATTGGAGAATATTTCGTTAAGAAGGGAAAAAAAAGTAATTTAAAAGTTGAAACTTGCCACAAAATTAACATTTCCACGGCATCGATAGGCTGCATAAATTACATCTAATGCTGGATTTTCGGTGTCATTGGCATTAGTCGTCCATCCAGTGATGACCATGACAAGCGGAAGATTCGGATTGAATTCTTTCCGTAACCACAATTTTGTCGGTTGATTCAACGGCACTGAAATGTTTTGATCGCCGACTTTAAGAACATAGCTCATGTTAGCGATATTTGGTGTTGTGCGTGGCTTTACACTGGACGTTGAAAGCGCAGCCGAGCAAAATGAATTGATGAGACCGTATATCTGTTTGAAAATTATTCATTAATGACTGGCACAAACACATTACAAATTTTTTATGAAATAAAACCGAAATTCGGATTCCGAATCGAATGTACACAACCGCTGAATTAAGTATCGTTTTTAGCATTAATGTATGTGCATAAATGGGGCAATATTTCATCCAATGATACGACTATATAATTAAAGAAAAGCAAACTCACTTTCTCGAATGGATAGCCAGCGATAAGATTTTTTGTAGATTGAAAGACATCTTCAGCCGATGGAATTACATCTGGAATTTTTCCGGCCACACCTTTCGTAATATCCACCACGGATTTACCGATATTCGTTAAACTCAAAGACTCAGTTGGTGCATACAATTTGCAAACCAACAACACTAACAGAAAATACTTCATTCTGTTGCTCTCACACATGAAATAACGTTCCAAACTATTTGATGTTTGCCAATCAGTGGTTTAAACTATACTGTGGGCACTTCCTGAATTTAACATACTTTTATAGAAGGCACAACTTGAGTTGTTATACCTGGAATACATTTAAAAAAAATCAACAACATGTTTTGAAAAATAAAACGTGAACGAAAGTATAAGCCTCGAAGAAAACCAAGAAAAAAACACAAACAAATGTGTTAAATATGCTCTGTGGTATGGCACTGTAGCATGATTGTATTCAAAATTCATGTTTAGTTTGAAAACATGTTCCAAAAAGTCAGGTACAAAAATAAATCGGTCTTATCTATCTAGTGATAGAGAATGAGTGTCGTTAGAAACTACCATGCTACATGTTGTGCTACCTGTCTTGATGTAAAACACTAATGATGTCTTTGGCCATGAAAATACAAGCAAATTGTTTGAATTCGAATTGTATAAACTCATCGTAATTCATTGAAGGATAATAAAATTTGTGTTCGGCACGAGTTGTGTGGACCATTCCCCGTGGAATTTTATTGCACATTCTGAAGGTTGGAACGGCGGCGATGCATTCAAATGCAAAAGTAAAAAAGTTATTCTTGACTGTTTTTGCGTTCTCGTTGTCCTGTCGAGCTAATAGCTAGCGCTTAACTAGCCATAAATATGGAAACAATTCAGCATTTGGTCTGTTACGACTACAGATAACTTAGGTGAATAACCTTCCAGCAGTTATCATTCAAGTTCTTGGTACAACAATTTAACTGATAAATATTTCAACAGAAGTCAATATCGCCCTCGGCCTCTTCAATTCGGAAAATGTTTGGTTTTCTCTAAATTAACGACAAAGTTCTGTATCTTTTGTATGTTTTGAAGAGTTTACGTGAACTAAATCTACAAACTGTTCAAAAATACAATTTTATAAGTATTTTGTTGTGATAATTTGAACGATATAAATTCCAATTGACATGAGAGCGAGAAAAATGCGAAAAACGTCTTTTCCAATCAATGCTGAGTTGTGTCACTTTTGCTCGCAACTTTATTTGTCTCTTTTTTGCTCTAAGTATTTTTTCCGTCTCAGTTATGAATAAAGAGCTCATAAGTTGTTCTTCCATTCTATGGGTGTCAATTGATGACGATACCTATTTATTTATGCGATGTAAACAAATTTACCAAAACTCACTGTTTTTGCATAAACATAATAGTCGAATATTTGCCAAAGAGAGCCAATGATTTAGTTCATGAATTTACTCCATCGCAAACGTTCTATTTTCACCTTTTCATACAAAAACCAGTTCAATAAAATATTCAACTATTTCCATTCACCAAATTTCGTACAAAAAAACGATTTATTCGAGCTAAATTTTAGATCAAACGGGTTTTTGCACGAAAATAATTTTGTCATATGACGCCATCGGCCTACTGATCGAATGTTGTGATAAGAACAACAGAAACATTGTGCGAAAAATCCAACGCTGCTCTCATGATTTGCCTATTCCATACCAGACAGTGTGAAAATGAACAGTTTACTTTAGATGATTGATTCGTCAAATGAAAGTCAATTTCATGTTCTGTTCGGTATTCGGTAAATCACGTTTAATTGAAAAGCATTTGATTTCTTTGAATCAATTGAAGATAGATTTAATTTTACGAGAGATATATATTTAGCCCGGACACCACCATTTCATTCAGCTAACATAAAATCTGTTCGTAAAGATTAGCTCCAAGTTAGTTGGAGTTTTTTTTGTTGGTATATTTGGATTTTGTGGCTTTTCCGGCTATATCCATTGCTGCAATAAGGACATTTATCAAATTTTCTATCAAAGAATCGGCTGGTGCATACAATTTGCAAACCAACAACACTAACAGAAAATACTTCATTCTGTCACACACACACACACACGGAAACAAAATCGTTCAAAACTATTCGAGGTTTGCTAATCGGTGGTTCGAAGAATAGTGTGAGCATATCATAAATTTAACATAGTCTCATGCGGGCATTATAGAACTTATGTTGTTCCCGGGATAGAAGTTGAACATAGCAGAGAAGGAATATAACACTTTTACCTGGAATACACCAATAATGTTTTTTGAGTGTTGAACACACTACACCGAATCAACAGAATTTTTAAGAAAAAAGGACTCGAGCAAATGTATAAGCTCTGAAGAAAACGAAAAAGACACACAGAAGTATTTTAAACATGCTTCGATTGTATGGTAATTTAGCAGGATTGTAACCCAAATCCGTCTCTATTTAGTCTGAAAACATGTTCCATAAAGTCAGGTACCACAATAAATTAGTCTCATCTGTCTGAAGGATATGTGCGTTATATCATTAAAACTACCACACCGCACGTTGTGATTCCTACCTGTCGTCGTAATTCATCGGAGGGTAATAACATTTGAACCTCCCTCCGATGGAATTTTATTGCACATTTTGCACCACTGATGACTTACGAGAATCATCTTCGGGCATTTATGTTTGCCGTCGTTCAGATTCTTAGCAAAGCAATCGAATCGATAAATGTTTCAGCAGAAGTTGAATTGCCCTTGGCCTCCTCAGTTTACAAAACCATAGGATTCCTATGAACTATGACAACGTTGTGTATCTTTTGTATGATCTAATCCAGAATTTACGGGAATTAAATCCACAATCTGTTCAAAAGTACAATTAATAACAGTTAATCTAGTATGATGATAATTCATTTATTAACGACACACGAAAACGTTTTTTTTTTCTCGAAAATTTGATTTCGTTGTAGACGATTTATCGTTAAAGAAGGACGAAATTCATTTGGTTAAATCTAAAAACGCTCTTATGATTTAACTTTAAACACGACTTATCTGTTTTGTATCCGATAGTTTAACCAGAAATATTGTTTTATTAAAATTTTTAGGTTATTATTCCTTTGATTATTTACATCGAATGAAAGTAAATTGTTAGGATGTTTTATTCGGCAACTGGCTTTTAATTGAAAAACAATTCAATTTAATTCTTTGACTTGCCGATGGTTAATTGCTCTTTTTAGAATGGTTTTTGTTTATAAAAACAAAATCGGTGGACATTTTCACTCAATGCAAACTGGTTTGAAATCTTTAGTTACATTCATGCCATACGGGCTTTCTTCGTTTGTATTCAAATAGAAAATGCCACCAATGTTTTGTGGTAATGCATAGCCCATTGGATATTCATTTTTCGAACAGTAGTGTGTATTCAATGTTAGCAGCGCACCACATTCGATGGACAGGAAATTTCGTTCGTTGCCTGGATAAACTGATTCGGCATAAAAATCGGCTGCACGCAAATGTGCACATATCATGGTAAAACAGCCTGGTGGATGCGGGAACAAACCATTTACATAGAAGTCCACCGCACCTGATAATCAAAATCAAAATTGAGAATTTCTCTAAAACTACTTGACTTTTTTTAAATAACAAACTTGATTTTCATCTTGACATTGACGTTTTGATGATCAAGTTTTTTTTCACAAATTATGAACAGTTTGAATTCCAACAAATCTTCTTTAATGTATTTACCAATTGGATCACGCTTTCCTAAGCCGCCTGGGTTTGTGTGAATTACATCAACCAATTTTGCATCATAACGTGTCAAACCTTTGAGATCTGTTTCGGAATTGAAGCATGGATCTGCAAAAAAGAAATTATTTAAGACAAAAATCGTAATTCAAACATGGAATATTCATATTTGCTATAGTTGAAACGTAAAATATGAATATACTAGCTGGATCTAGCGCCGTGATGCGCGGTAATGTTTTGCCCGATTTGATTTTAAGATTTTGTCCAATGGAACCACCAACTGCAAAATAAAAATGATGTCAACATTTGCAATTTCCGATGAATTTCAACATCGTGATTTACTGTGCGCTCCAAGCGAGTGACCTGGGTACGATGCAATTGTTATTTAAAGAGAACAAGAAAATGAAAAATAATTACTCGAAATCACGAGATACAGAGAAAAAACGCAACGCACAACGGTTTACCGTTGAAACGGAAGCTTAAACAATGTTTCAAACGTACCGATTAAGTGAATCTTTTCAACTGGGTACCGTTTGATTAAGTCTTTCAATGAATCAGCAATAATTTTTCCTATTTCCTCGGTATTGACTGCACTCCACGTGTACAGAGTATCAATGAAACGACCTTCAAATCAAGAATACGATTAAACAACGTAAAATGTTGCAACGACATGGAAAGGATAAAAGAAAAATAGATTCTAACCTGTGTCAATGGACTTGTTTATGATGAAAAGTGGGAAATGTACAATTTTTCATGAAATGAATACAAAAAAAAAAGTGAGAAATTTATTCAAATGCAATTCACCACAAAATTAACATGTCCTCTGCATCGATAGGCTGCATAAATCACATCTAGCGCATGATTAATCGGTTTGTTAGTATTAGTTGTCCATCCAGTAATCATAATTACAAGTGGAAATTTTGAATCGAATTCCTTCAAACTAAGCAATTTCAATGGTTCGCTCAAAGGCACGGCAATACTTTGATCCTTTATTTTCAAAACGTAATTCATGTCGACCATTTTCGGTTTATAGAAGAAGAACGGTTGTGCACGCTGTTTCGAAAGTTCTTCGGTGCCTGTTATGAAATATAGTCTCGTGAGAGGAAAAAAGTCAACAACAACAACAATTGCAGCAGCAGATTTGTTCTTAGTTGTGTAGTTGTGTGAATTGCTTTTCTTCTGAAACTTACAATGTTCGCTTATGGCCAAGTAAACCTAATTAAAAAGTTTTATTGGTAAACTTGTGAAATGCATTAAAACTGTAGTCGATTGAAAGAAAAAGAAGAACTGATTTATTTACCATTTCAAAGGGATAGCGACCTAAAAGGTTTTTTCCCATTTGAAATATGTCGTCTGTTGTTGGCAGCAAACCTGGCTCCTTTTGTTCGGTAGACCGACGAAAAATTCCGCCTCGAGTGAGGGAATTAAAATTAAAAACAAGTAAATATAGCAGAAAATACTTCATTTGTTATTTTAAATCCAAAATATGATGTATTCTAAATGATGGTTCCAAAAGTAGTGTGCCCGTATTGACAGAGAATGAAAGATCGAAATTATAAAATATTGAAATGTCATGATAGTTTGCTAAATGTCAGTTTTTAATTGGTTGTCATTGAACGTGGAGTTCAATTTTGTTAAATGAGAGTAAACACACAAAACGCTCTGCAATTATTTTCATCCAGTCCATTAGTGCGACAAAATGTGGTAAATCCCGCAATGAAACGAATCGAATCGAATCTCTATTGAAACAGCATTGCAGAGTGTAACATATGGTCGATTGTTAGCATTCTGTGGGATAATTACGTTTCACTCGCATTGAGTTCGTAATATTGAACGTGTGTATTTTGGTCGAATTTAACAAACCATTGCAGAAATGGTGGCTGATTTCCTATTGAGCATTGAACGAAATGCTTGTTGTAGCAAAGCCATTTGGTCATGTATTCAAATATCTGTTATTGTTGTTTCTCGTATGATTTTCAATGATGTGTAATTAAAAGTGACCGTGGCTTTGAATAGTTTTCGACGAAAAGGTCACATTGAAATGAAAATCACATAGAAACCATTGAGTAATAATAGCAAAGTTATTAAATTGGTTAAATACAAATATTGAAATAAAATTAACAAAGCGTGAAATAAAAATGACCAATATAAGTTCCGATGTATTATCATGTCCGAATTTTCGATTTTGTTCGATCAAAAACGAACTAACAATAATCAAGTATTATAAACGTAAACATTAGATCGTATTGAATCGGTTTCCGAAGAAAATTGACGTATCAATGCCACCGATTTTTAGAATGATATGAATAGAACGAAAAAATTGCCATTGTTGTCACTCAATCTGTTCTGTTCAAACTGGCTCAAACCCAACTCACCAAATTTATAATCAATAAAATTGCACCTACAATATCACTGGTATTCGGAGTATTTTGCGGCGCTGACAGCTGTACCGTAAAATATTCATTGACGGCTGATATGAGTAAGTTATCAGATTAAATGTCATGCAGTAAGTATGTATGAATTCATTCTAGTTCAGCCATTCATGTTTCTATTTCATTCATAAATATTTCAAGGGCATATGCAACACCTGTCTGCTCCACTGTTGTGCCTCAATGAAAGCAGCACAAAGAAATTGCGAAATCAAAACGAAAATTCCAGTGAAAAACGTCTGAAAAACAAAAGCATTTCTTTTGAAATTGCTGATTCATGTGTAAGGTCGAAAGTTCAAAAGCACTGTACTGAATGAATGCGATGTGTGTCGAAAGGGAAAAGGTTAGCAAAGACACAAATTTGTCTATATTTTGCACGAAACAAGCACTCTAGTGGAAGTTGTCGAAACTATCAAGCTCATCAAAAAACCGAACCAAGTCGTTGCATGCTCCGTAGCTGGATATATATCGCAAAACAGCCGTACCAAGAAATCCTGTACGGTTTGGTTCGGTTTCAGTAACAGTAGCGTTTAAATGCATGAATAAATAATATGGGCGAGTAATTAAAACTTTACATCGCTTGTGGTGGCTTGCATTAAGCCGTTGGTGGAAAAAACTGGGTGAAAATGCAAACACTTTATATTTTTTTCCACTGCATTTTGTCGATGAGTTTCGCTTTTCTCGCACCGGAAATGTGCTCGAAAAGTGCGACTTTAATTAATTTTTCATTTCACATGTGGCACAGTAAACAGAGGTGCTGCAATCACGATTATGACATTGATGGTGGTGCTACGTGTTTTTTTTTCTCGTTGTGGAATTTGAATCGAATGAAGTGGAAGAATATTTCCATGGGCAATTTTAATAAAGCTCTTTACTGTTGCCAAACTACAATGCAGCTGAGCATACGAGACTGCAGTCATTTATTAAGTCAATAGTCGAAACGATGTGATGAAAATGAGTTTTGGTTCTTTGGTTTTTTGGTAATGGCATGAAAAATGGTGCAATTTTCACCAATATGACAATGACGACGACGACGACGTGATGATGCACACGTGTGTTTACACGAATAATTAAGCGTTGTGCACAGACACATTTATTCACATGGAAAAAATTGAGGACGAAACAACAGAATGCAGTCACTTAATTGAATTTTCAGCATTTGAATGGTGTCACTTAATACTTAATCATTTACTCACAATACCTTTCAATGAAATCGAATTTTCCTTTCAATCGAAATTCGATTTTAATCTAGAGCAAAGAGCGCAATAATCTCAAGAACATTGGATCGTTCCATTGGAGTGGCGTTGATGATTTTCAATGTGCAATTGATTAAGAGCTCGCAACAGCAACAGCAGGCTGTCAGCTTGTCTCGAAAATGAAACAATGAACGAACCTTGAATTACAGAAATAGCCTTGCGTCGACAGTTGCCAACAAATCTTCCGTATTTTCCATAGAATATCCATATCTCTTTGTGTGCCTATCGCGCGCGCGAAAAATAAAATAAAATGGCATTAAGAATGAAAGATTACCACATATCGAGACAGAGGGGGGAGAACCGGAGTGAGATATTTTAAATGGGCGGCTGCTATCGCTGTTACTTCTTTCTATTCATACGCCGATCAAAATGTCTTTGGAAATGAAAACGAGCGAAAATGAAAAATTGCATCGCCACCAAATAAATGAATATTACTATATTCAGATGGTATTCAGATTACGCGAGGGGGCACAAGATTGACACATGTGAGTGAGGGATTTGACATCAATCATATGCTATCAAGCGAAATCGTCTTAAAACGAATTTTCCCGAGTCTCTCTCTCTCTCTCTCTCTGTGCGCGCGTATACATTGCAATAAAAACTTTCACTTGAGCCGAATAAACAAAGGCAAGAAGCAAATACCAGAGATAAATGTGGAGCGATGACAGGAAAATCTGTGAAAATCGACAATATAAACAAAAAAATCATCATCAGCAGCAGCAGCAGTAGCAATGGCAGTAGTACTCAAATGTTGAAGTGAATCGAAGAGAGAACGTCCGAGTCATGCGCATTTCAAAATAGTTGACGGTGTTATCTGGTTTCTCCGCTTTTATCCGAATCAAAGAGAATCGAATAAAAATGAATGCAGCACACACAACTGACAGTTCAAAGATGAAGGTATTAACATTTCTCGAAATGTGTATGGTAATGGCCCGTTCGTTGATTATTCAGGACAGCAACAACAACAAAAACCCGAGTGCACATGTGATTCGTGGTGGCTGCCAAAACGGAAGTGCTGATCAAGACAGGTTTCAAAATGTATTGCCCGTAACCACGCCATAAAAATTGCATATTTTAACGATTTTATTATCCAATGCAACGGCAAAAACAGCCATTTGGATGTGCAAGCTCGGATTGAAAAGCGATAGAAATTGAAAATTCACTTTGAAAATAGTTAAGAGACGGAAAGTATGGAACGCAACGTTTAATAGCCACAAATAGTAAATGATGATGTTGGGAGGATTGGTGAAAGCACAAGCAGCACACACAGACTAGCAGCAGCAGCAGCAGCAGCTAGATTGTGGATTGTGGAAGCGCGCGCGAAAACTTCTCCATGCTCTCTATCAAATTCCAATTGGTAGTCGTGTGCAAAACAGAGCCAACTAGACGCCCGCTAGAATGGAGACACACTCTCTTTCGCACTCGCACAGCGTGTTTGTTTGTGTATAGATGGAAGTGATACACATTCATTGGTGAACGATGAAAACACATGCTTCTCTTAATTGTATTCGGCATGCAAGCCAACAACACGGCGACACAAAAGCAAGGCACGCGGGCGAAACAGAGACAGGAATATCAACAAAACTCAAAATAGGAAAATCCTCTTGAAATCAAGTTCGAACATTCAAAGTTTGGAAATGAATAAGGGATTTTTGGTGGAAGCGCGCGCTAGTGTCTTCAGTTGACCGGTGAACGTTGAACCGTTTACAGTTTTCACGAATTCGGCACATTCGAAAATTCGCAGAAGAATCCGTTTTCGTATTTTTCGCGTGTATTGTAACAACCAGCCAAGCAAGCAAGCAAGTGAGAGAAGAAGAAAAAGAGCACACACGTCCATTGAAATGTTGGTCGATGGTGTGGTGCTGTTACTTTATAAGCGTTTGCCACTGTCAAATTCGCCTCAGTCGTAACCGTAGTGTCCTTGCATTCTGTACACACACTCAAGGCGTTCAGCCAAAACTAATGAATAGGCTAACGAAGCGTAACGACAAAATTTACTTACAAAACTGTTTGTTCCATTTCACATTTTAAGAAGAAGAAAAAAAATCAAGCACACGCCTGATTGCGATTTTGAAATACAGTTGAAAAATACGAAAATTCCCAAAAAGTAGAAGAAAAAAAAACACGGTATTCTTATCCCAACATATTTCCGTGAAGTCGACACAATTTTTTGTTTGTTTTGTTTTTGTGAATGAAATTAGTTTCGTTTGGAAGCAAGTAGCATCTCATTCGCGTTTGAATATATCTAGATTTTTTCGGTGGATTGTTTTTTTTTTTTGTTTCAAGTGAATCGAGTTTACATTTTTGGTGTGGTTTTTAATGTGTG